CATCAAGTACTTCAGACTTTTTTTTGGCCACGGTATACCATCAATCAAACTGTTCAAAGCATACATATATATATATATAATTATATATATATGCACTGTGGGGATACCAAAAGGGAAACACAGTTATATGTATTATACTCCTGCCCAGGCAGAGTTCTTGACTCGTGTAGTGGTGGTGCGAGAAAGGATGCAGTCCAAGGAGCTGGAAACCACCGGCAAGTGGTTGACGGAAGAGAAGATGAAGGCTGAGTATGACAAGTATCTTTGATGGGAAATGTACCCTTTTATGATTGTTGGTTAAAACATTGGTTCATGTGCGTGTATATATCTATATACATATTTATGATTTTTATATGTATATATAAGTATAATATATACACATGGCTTTGCTGAATGCTTTCCCACATATACTTAAATATACATATATAAATATATAATTTGACATGTGTAGATATAAAACTATATATACATATGTATATATATATATAGTGATCCCGTTTTAGCTCTAGACTGGGTGATGCCAAGGGCTTCGGTGAAGAGCATCATGGGATACTGCCGACGATTTCCACAGGCGTTGGTGAGGCAAGGGTTTGTCCAATTTATCTTTCATACATATAGATGAGTTTTTATACAAAGGTACCCTGCCTGTCCTGCTTACCCACTTATACTTTTGGATTCTATTTATATATATATATATTATATCTTGGATCCGTGTCTTGGCAGGAAGTGGAAATATAATGAAGATGTGGAGGATTTTTTTGTTGAGGATGAAACGACGGTGAAGCTGAAGCGTGCGGATTTGACCCGCCAAGTGGACACCACAGAGATGGATGACAGGGTCTTAGTTATCGAACTATTTTTTTAGTTTACCTTAATTGAGAAATGTTTGTTTGTGTTTTACTTCGTATTTAGATCCAAGAACAGGTTTGTCCCAACTGCAATAAATTCCATTGTCCACAGGAAAGGGGATGCCCATGTGTATATATTATATATATTTATATATATAGTCTGGTCATAACTTCTGCATGGCCCCAGTCAGGATAAGACTTCTACTACAGCTCCAGCTTTACCAAAAGGCGTGGATGAGGATGACTCAGAAGATCGCCCAGAAGCAAAACCAACTCCGGAACAGTTGGGTGAAAAGGTTTCTTCACTGAATTTACTCAAACCCATGTTCATGGAACTATTTGCATATATGAAGCATGGCACAATTACAAGTATACATAGTTGTATATATATAATTATATATATAAATATTGGCTATGGCAACAATTATATATATATGTATATATATATAATACAATGGGGTGGATAAAACCACACATACATGTATATATATATATATACGGGAGAAGAGCAGCCCACCATTGGTCCCTGCCTGAAGTCTTTCGTTTTCTGCCCAGGTGGTGCCAGACCTCGAGAAAGTGATGGAAGCCCTCAACAGCAAGATGTCCACCATCTATGACATGATTGCGACTCTTGAAGAGAAGGACAACCCCCCACCTATGGAGCGCTACAGGCTGACTCTTGTCTTATCTATATATATATATATGGAAATTGAATGATCAAATTTCACCACCACTGAAATCACAACATACAACTGTGTGTTTTTATGGTGTATATATATATATATATATGTATATATATAAATCTTTGACAAATTGGAGGGTGGACCAACACTCTGACTTTTGCATGACATCTTGGTTCATACACCAGTGCATGTGTATATATATGAGGATGGTGGATGATCTACGCCGAATTGTTGGGAAGTTGGAGGAACAGTTCGGAATCCTTGCCAAGTACATGACGGAGATTAAAATGGACGATCTCGACAAGACTCCTAAGAGCCCCAAGCTGCATGCGTTTCTTACCCTCTTTGGATATGCATGTATATAGTCAGTTTTGTTTTCATGTCCTATGTCAACTTTATAGGTTATGCATTACACAAGATTTCTTCCGCTGGGTTTAGACCAGACTTGTCCCAATTGCATCCGACCATATTTTTGTATATATTGTATATGCTTCAGTCCATTCACTTGCATGGACCCGCCCGTGATGGCTGATGATGCAGCAGACTGGCTAGTGGAACTGATGGAGTACAATCGCCAACAGGCACCCTGTTCCCACTTCAGTGCCCCGACCATTGTCCAAAATGCAACGGGACCTCAGCTCGGCCAGGAGGTATCCAGAGGTTTACGACTGACTTCGAAGGGGTTCACATTGGGGAAATACTTGGATTCTACAACTCTGGCCCTCCCCAGAACTCAAACTCTTGTCGACCAGATCTCCCAGGATTCACATTTGAGTTACAACCTGCCACGGGTTGGGTCTACTGCAGGCCAGATTATTCAGCATGGTCAGCGTGTTATTGAATCAGTGATTGAACGAAAACAACCTGCTACGTTCAAGATTGGGTACAGCCATGATCCTGTCTGGCGGTTTCACAATTCCCTCTATGGATATGCACATGGAAGAGATCGTTTCGAACACCTCTGCGTGGTGTACATGTCACATGAGTACATCAGCTGTGCTTTCCTGGAAGCGGCCTTAATTCAACTCTTCAAAGGTGACTTGCATAAATGAATGTATCACATGCAGAAATTTTGTTGCTTAAAACAACTTCGATTTTAACTTGCATTTACAAGACAATTTATTTTTGTTGATATCACAAACAACTAGCCCAGGTCGAACTGGATTGAAGAACGAACGCCCTGGAGGAGAAACACTTCCCAAAGATGACAGAGAGGGCCCGTACGTTGTGTATTTTGTGTATAGATCTTTCCAAAGGCCTTCCATGGCTTCCCGATAGAAAGGCACCTGTGTAAAATTCAATTGCAATTAGCTATACATATTAAAGCTTGCACATGGAGACCGCCTATAGTTCCATGAAACCAGTATTGCAGAGAACAAAAAGATGGCTCTACCTGGGATGGTTTTGCATATGTAAAGCTATATATATATATATACAGGTTTATATAGTTACAACTTCACTGTTTTACTTTCTTGACCTGTATAGTAAAACTATACGTGCATGTATATATATATATATGTGTGTGTGTATTGATATATATATATATACATATGTGTGTGTGTATATACCTCGCCTGAATGAAATCGCCAGGAGAAGATCGATACCGTGAAAGAGGTGATCAAGAACCCTTGCGCTGACTTCTTGTCTGTGGAGCTAAAGTACAAGATGTTGAAGAAGGACATTCAAAAGGCGAAAAAAGCTCGGGAGCAGCAGCAGGAGAAGGAGAAAGCTGATACCGAGGACGTGGACCAGGACACCGACCAACCGGAGGAGACAGAGCGCAAGCCCAAACGTCGCCGCACCAAGAGCAGTTCTGAGCCTTTGCCCAAAGCTAAGGCTAAGGCTGCTGCATCTACTGTCACCAAAGCCGCTTCCAAGAAGCGCAAGCGGACCTGATGTGGTCAGAGTTGAGGGGAGCCAAGGTTGAAGACTTGTTCAGTATATGTATATGTATGTGCATGTATAAGTATATATATATATATACATAGGTGTTATGTTTCACATATGGGATTTCCTGTCTGGATCATTCTATAATAATATATATATATATTTGGTCTTCAATGGTGCCCTGAGTATTTTGACTTGAGCTAGCACCAGTGCGAACATGGGGTTAAGTTCAACATCATTGGTGTGCTCGATGGATGAACCGTGTGAATGCACACGTGCTTTGAGAGATGGTGGTGCAATGCCATCGCATTACATGGTATACATATAGGAGAAGATTCTGAGATGCTTGGATGATCTATCGGATGGAAAACAACAAAGGGCGATTCCTCCCCTTGCTCATCTCACCCCATGGCATAAATTTTGATTTAATCTGAGCGAATTATGGAAAGGTGATTTCTTTTCTTCTTGTGCAAACCTGATCTCAGTATATCTCATTAAAACCCAACATTGCCATGTATATATATATACATATATATATATTATATGCAGCCCATATCAGCTCCAACCGTCATGCCAGGTCCCTCGCGGAAAGCTAGGCGGCTGGCATGGCTTTACTCTCGTGGGGCACCATGGCAGGATTGGCATGTGGTGGAAACCTATTTGCCCTCAACATATCCTTGATGGATGACCTATGTATATATATATATACATATATATTGAGAGAGAGAGAGAGAGTATGATGAGGCACCATTCAAAATGCTGCCATGTAAAACGGATCTTGGGCCAATCAGCAGGTGTTCCCTATACATATGTATATATATATATACCAATCTCTCGTCTACATATACAAACCTATATATATATATATATCCAACGGCCCAGGAACCTTGCACTGAGATTATCAACTCTGCCGTGGCTGATGTTGCGGACATGGCCCATGTCACGGATGGCAACCCCAACAAGAGGTGTCCTGTTTTGTGTGGGCTTGCCAGGATACCCCATGGCGTTTCAGAAGCTTCCCAAAAAAACAGGTATCTTTATAATTATTTTTGACCAAACTTTTTTCTCCCCCAAAATGAAAGAGGAGTATATGTGCAAAAATGGGCCATTTAAAAATTATGGATCTCCGGAATCATGGGTTTCAAACTTAAAATTGTCTGATTTAGGATGATTTGGGGGTATCAGCGTTTTAGGACACTTCCACATAATATATATATATATATAAATCAACCCCATCCTTTCAAGGAAAGAATATATATATATATATATATGCAAAAGCTCAATGTTTCTCCTTTACTGCATGGGCTCTCACATCCTAGGAAGATCGAGTGGCCCAACTCTTTGCTTCTAGCGGCTTACGTTATGAGGTGGGCTTGACCTACAGTCAGGCTGGAGCTATTCCTGACTTCCCCTGGATCCGTCCATCTGACTATTTGAAGAGCTTGGTCCGGACGGGTGATTTTACAAAGCTTCTGGGTGGACATTCCTTGGAAAGCTCCAAAACAACCCTGCACACTTTCTGGACTCGATACAAAGACCAATTTCCAGCACATGAGGTTTTTTCAGATCCTGTGAAATCAGCAAACTTACATAGATGTGTTCCGGTCTATGTGCATGGAGACGAGGGAACAACATACAAAAAGAAAGGGGTCCTTGTGATTGCTTTTCAATCCCCTATTGGGCATGGAAGCCGCCATTCTCCAAACCAAAGACCTGAAACCTTGAATGATGCGGGCATACCTATGAACTTGTTACGAACATCCCTGCAATCAAGATTTCTCACAGCAATTTGCCCCAAAGACACTTGGTTTGAGTTCAAGCAAACCTGTTCCTGTGATATATTGGATGATTTCATGGGGTTTGGGGACAGAATGCAAATCTATATTGGATTTGGGGATTGCTATATATACATGTTCATAAATATATATATATATATATACACAGTTATAACGCTGTAGCAGAGTGCCATTCTCAGGACTACCAAAAATACAGTCTCTGACGTGTACTGAGGAGTTCTACGAGGATCCGGAGAGAGCTGCCTTCAACGACATACAGAGGCTGATAGTGGAGGATTGGGCGAGGCTGGAGAAAGATGGTTTCTCCGTGGGGTCAGAGCTGGTTTGGCCAATCGTTCTGGGGATCAAAGGTGATTGGTCATACCTTGTTCCTTGTTTGCATTATACTGTGTTTTTTTTGGTACTTGAGAATTATTTTCATTTGGATCAGTTGCCAACATGGGGTTTACACATTTTACAAATTAACTCCTTCATAGGGGATCTTGCCTTCTGTTCTGGTAAGGTAGAATGTGGCTGGCTGGAACGTTCCTACAGGAGAGGTCCCAAAGGTGCTCGGGAGGGTCAGGATGAGAAGAGCATGGCAGGAATTTGTCATCTTTGCCTGGCTGGCCATGAAGGGAATGACTGGGAAGATGTGTACCTTGAAGGACA